GAGATTTTGGGCAACAACCTCCTTCCCTCAGTAAGAGCATTGAAGATGGGTCGTTGCTGGATCTTCCAGCATGACAATGACCCCAAACACACAGCCAGGGCAACTAAGGAGTGGCTCCGTAAGAAGCATTTCAAGGTCCTGGAGTGGCCTAGCCAGTCTCCAGACCTGAACCCAATAGAATATCTATGGAGGGAGCTGAAACTCTGTGTTGCCCAGCGACAGCCCCAAAACCTGAAAGATCTGGAGAAGACCTGTACGTAAACTTGAAAAAATCAGCGGTGTATCAAATACTTATTTACCCCACTGTATATAGTGAAATACTTTTCACTGAGCCCCTAACAGCACAATAACCAGGCACAGCAAGAACTAGGATAGAACTGAACAAAGAAACTATACAATCAAATACAGTGGGCAGAAAGAAGACTGCAAACTAACAGTCTACAGAAGAAGACAGAGTTTATTAAAGCAGTAACTGAAATATTAACTTATTAAAAGAGATCAACTTAACCACAGCTGTTCATAATTGTCTTCACTGTCTCACTAAAAAGGAATCTGTGGGAAACAGCAGGGGGACAAACAGAGATATCAAAATAAAAAGATATACTGACTGTATTCCACTATACCTGTAGCTGTCCCAATGGTGTAGTCAGAGGATGGCCCACTGTTGGGCAGCATGTCCCCTCGCTGATGTCTCTCCCAGCTGTACGCGGCACTGAGGGACTCATCAGTCCATCCACACATTCCTGCATCCTCAAAGTCACACTCAAACCCTTTTCCTCTGTAGCCTTTAGGTGGAAAAGGAAGACAAATGCTCAGAGCCCTTCTTCAACTATCACTCAAAATAGCTAATTGTTACCTGCCAGGCTTTATATTATATCAACACTGTTTATTTACATTTAATGCATAATAAAAAGTTCATTAGTTCACGTGCCAACGTCTGTTGATGGACACTTGGTGAGCAGACATGAGAATGTTGTAATAAACAACTGAGTGTGTTGAGCAGTGTGTTCATGTCTAAATGAATAAATGACTTGAACTCACCACAGTCCTGCTCATCGCTGCAGTCAGTACAGTCACACACAAAGTCACATTTCTTCTCAGGAGCCTGACACGGACAAGAAGCAGCAGCTGAGTGACAAGATGAAACGGAGGGCAGTGTTACTTCTCTAAGATGATTCCATTTAAAATGCAATATTAAAACTGGTCAGTGAAACATCCAGTGCGTGGTCCAACTTTGGCATAAATGGTTTTGTTTTGGTGTCTTTCAGCTGTGTATTAAAATCACAGCAGAACAAATTGCAGCAGCATCCTTTGAAGAAGACTGAGTGCTAGGGCTGAAAGCTCCAGAACAAGTAAGGAAGTAGACCTTGAGTGGAGACTGTTATGTCTACTGGTGTTTCCACGATAAAGAATAACCTGACAAGCTCAATCCATTATGATTTATGTGCAAAATAACCAGTCATCCCAGCTATCAGGATAATAAAAAGGTAGTATATTTTCCTTTCAATGGAAGTGGAATAAAATATACACTACTTTCTCTAAACTGAAAATACTTTGAAGTCTTTGTAAAATCTCACAGATAACTCAGTCCTGATAAGAGAGTCTGGAACTCATTGCTGTTGAAGATTTATGACCACCAGGCTTAAAGGTCAGGGAAAGTTACCAAGTTAACACTAGTGAAGTAATGGGTCTCCTGCACGATATGACAGCTGGAAATCAGACATAACACCATGTAGGAACGTGCATCCTCACATTTACAAAGTGGCAAAATATTCACAAACTGTAGAGTGCTGCAGTAACAGTGAAATAATGATATCAGTAAAATATAACTCATCAAAAAAAAATTTCTTTTTAGTGTAAATTAAAAATGAATGTGAAGATAATATCAAGTACTGTTCATAACTCACTAACTCACTTGTTAGTGAGCACAAGAGAAACTGTCTTAAACTGATTTTTGGCAAAGTCAAAAACTATCTCATAAATTGACATGGCAACAACACAATTACCAGTTGTGTACCTTGTATTTCTAACTCTAGCCCAGACAGCAACATAGTTTCTACATGACAGTAGTATTATTATTATTAAACACACGCACTGGCTGAATGGAGCTTGTGCTCTAAGACAGTAAGATCTAACAGTGTGCTCTTACCCCACAGCAGAACCAGCAGCAGAACAAGGCCTGAGCTCCTCTGGTGTAACATCTTTTCCCCTTTTTCCACCAGATCAGTCTGAACACAACCTGGACAGTGTCTGCTAGGTGATTCTGTCCTCTTCTCTCTCTCTGAGAGATAACAGCTGGACTTTAAATTCACCCAGCATGCAACTGCAACAAACCATCATAAAACAATTTCCAACAAATGACACTACAAATCTGTTTATTGCACAATAACCATAGTAGTTGGGAACAAACATGCAGAGCAAAAATCACTCCAGGCTTCATTATCACTGTGTGAACTTGTTGACTTTCTGCTTCCCAAAAGCACTTGGAGGTAAAGTGCCTAGCTAAAAGGAGCAGAGCTTAGCTCAAAGTTTCCTATATGAAATATGCATTTATCATGTTGGCACAGTGAGAACAGGAAACTTTATTCTGACTTAGAAGTGTGTAGACATTATTCCACCATTTGACCCTTCTGCTATCCTTGTCACACCAAGAAATTTACAAGTGAAACATGATACCAAGCACACTGCATTTTTTATTAGCTGATCGCATTAGTGTTGCATTAGCTTTTTTGTCAGTAATACTGTCTTTGCAGCTGTTTTACCATTGTCACTTTTTACCAAAACGAAGGCATCAAAGTGGCCAGAAATATCTAATTTAAGCCAGTGTTGCCACCAGACCTAAATAAACCATCACCCCCTCACCCAGGCTTATATAGGACTGGTAGAGAGCATCCTCGCTACTGGCATTACAGTCTGGTATGGTAACACCACACAGGCAGAGAGGAAGGCTCTTCAAAGGGTTATTAAAAACTGCAGAGGGGATCATTGGGACTAAACTGCCTGCTATGAACATAAATACACACAGTGCTGTTGCAAAAGAGCAGAGAACATAATCAGAGACCCACTCCACCCAACTCACACTCTGCTCAAACACAAAAACTGCACCCACAGCAGAGAGGACAGTATCATCACACACACACAACCAGAACAAGATTTTACAACAGCGCTTCCCCTGCTGCAGTAAGACTGATGGCAAATACGAAAATGTGAAAAGCCTGTGCAATAACCCCTTACCCTACTAAGTAGAAGACCATATACAATTACACTATGTGCAATACCATGTGCAATATTTGAAATTCCCCATTTTACCTGCTACCTTATTTCTGTACCCACAATTTTATGAGCTGTTTTGTATTCTTGGGTATTCTTGTTTTTTGTATTCTTGGTTAATCTTATATTTATATGTTCGTTAGGTGTTCGTTCTTTTGGCTTTAAACTCTTTACCTGACTCCAGGAGAGCCCTGCACAAGAATTCCTATATGCCTAGACTGTTTATGCATAAATGGAAAATAAAAATCTTGAATACTAAAGTGATTGATCTGCACTTGTTTCCATAAATCCCATCCACACAAGAGCAATGTGACATCTTCCTAGTGCCAATTAGCAGCTAGCATATCCTGTAACCTAGCTCAAAAAGCACACCCTCTAAATACCCCAAACTATTTTGATTTCGATGGCACTAGGCTAACAGCTTCCCCAACTTCTAATCTTTGTGCTAAGCTAGGCTAAGCTAATTCTCAATTCGAGAAAGTGTTTTTCAGCTAATTTGTGGTTTTACACTATGCAGCTTCACTGTTTTGTTTCCATTTCTTATGTCTGAAAATCAGCGGTTCCTGTCGCAGCAAACAGGCGTTCTCAGAAAAAACACTCAGGTAAACCCAATGTGCGCTACCCACCACCAATTTTTTAAGTCTGCAACAGAAAGAAAACAGTATGCAGCCAAATAAAAGGCAGATTTTTAGGAACATTTATGAGACATCACAACAAACATTTAAGGTTGACTTTCCAACACGTCGTGGTCATTAGGTCTGAACCCTGTGACTCTAAAACAAGTCACCTTGCAAAACTGTCATGGCCCGTTATTTTATAAATCAAATTATTTCCTGATAATTTAAAAACAACACTGTTTGCTATATATGTACTCAAACTGCAACACAAACTTCAGGCTTGTTTTCTAGTTATTCACTGCTAAGTGTCAATCTTAGTTTTAGATCATTAATGTGGTTTTAAAAAGCTGCTTATCAGACTCTATGTGGTTTTTAATGACATGTGCTGACTTATCATGGCAGTTCCAGATAAGTGTCAGTCCAGGAGAAAAAAAGTGTGCAGTAGAGGCTCGTTTCAGTTCAGTATCCTTCATTGGCCCAGGTCACCTCATAGTCTGGATACCGAGCCTTCAGTTTCTCAGTAGTCAACGCGTGGTTTGCTCTTCCAAATCCCTGTAATGAGCATCGACACATCAAAGTTCCATTAGAGTGATAAAATAATGTCTGATTTAAACTAAAACAAACATTTTTATCAAACCTGGATTTAATGATATCAGTCATAGTTCCACAACCATCCAGAACAATTATCCTGCAGCTCTATGAAGCTTTTTAGCCTCTTTTGGCTCATAGTTTTGGTTCTAAAGCACAATTACTGTACGTACTGTTACTAACTATCATCTGGATTTTCCTGCACGATTCTCTCACCATGGAATATCCGTAGACGTGGATCTTCTTAGCTTGAGGGTCATGTTTGATCCTCCCTCCTCCGATACACTCACAGTCCAGGTGGCCATCCTTTTCCAGCTCTTCTGAAACCTTCTCATAGATATCAGCTACAAGAAAAACAAGAGGTGAGCGATGCACCACCACTGTGCTTTCTGATATATTTATTCTCTTCATGTCAAAAATTCACCTTTTTATAAATAATAACTCTTAGATTTTGTTTGTAATAAACCTGACTAAAGCCACTAGTGTTTCAGCTGCCAACTGACCATAAAATGTTTTTTAGTTATCACACTTGCCAGTTTGTTCTGTAGATGTGTTGCCTCCATCTAGTGTTCATGACAAGGAAAACAACTTGTTAGACAAACCTGCAGGTTCTGTGCCTAAAACACAAACCTATGTGTGGAAATTACTAGGCTTAAGTTGAATTTTTAATTTCTCTAGGCCTGTGTAGTGTCTACGGCAAATCTAAAGAATCAGAATTAAACAAATGAAACACAGCATTATTTATATGACATTTTTGGTGTGCCATTTATTGTGTGATAATTAAATGAAAGCATTTATTGAATGACAATTACCAAGCTTTTTGTCTTTACTAATTGAATGACATGTTTTTCACTGTGACACAAGGTTTCCATCAAATCAGTACTGAAAACGAAGTACAGTATATTTGAGCAGCAAAAACCTGCAAACAATAAATGCACATATATACACTCACCAACCACATTATTAGGTACACCATTCAATTAAATGTTTGTTAGTGAGGTTATGGTTGAAAGCGGAGTTGTACTGAGAGGTGTCTATACTTTTGTCCACCCCCTTCACATACATGAGAGGATCATAATATTAGGAACACATCTGAAAATAATTGATTTGATACATTTTTGACAATTTCACCAAAAGCTGATACCGTCTGAGCTTCATTAACACAGATGTGACAGCTGGGCTGCTGCATGTGATTACATTCAGTTGCACAAATGCACCCAATAAAAAGCATTTGGTGACTTTAAATGAAAAAAAAAAAACACACACACACACACACACACACACACACAAATGTTTACTGAATTTCACTTTATTTGATTTGTTTGAATTGAGGAGTGTTTAATCTTCCATATGTTTCTATGGTGGCCTTGTGTAAACCCAGGGATACATACTGTATGATACTGCATTGTAGGCTACCTTGGCTTCAAACACTTGTTTCTGTTCATTTCTCTCTGTTTTAATACATATATTTTTAAGATAGTGTTTACTGACCTGTCATTTCCTCATATACAACTTTGACTTTTTAAGTTAAAACTTGACAGTTTATTTTGTTTTTTTTTTACCTGCAGCAAAACTCTACATTGACATACACATATTTAACCAACCTGACAAAATATTTCATTTATATTTTACAATATCTAACAGTGTGTTGTAATTCAACCCGTTTATTAAACTCACAAAGCACAGGACACCAGAATTAGCAGGTCTGATATTTGAGACACTGCTTCAGTTTAATGGTTAATTCGGAGGCAGTGAATTATATTGACAAGGGATTCAAATCTTCATTTATGTATTTATATGGATGAAGAGTGAGTGAATATTACAGAGACCTCTCAGTACAACATAACAGGTCAACGTTTCAACATCACAATCTACAGCGACCCGAAAATGACAATAAAGTTGATTCCTCTCTAAAACTACTTCAGCAAAAAATGAATAATTTCACTTTGATGAACGTAGGTTTTAGTGCGGGACTGTGGTAGGCTATCAGACTGAATTTTTAGCTGTAGCCACGCGTACTGTTAATGTTAGCTACACTGAACGTGTGGGTGTCATGTTTTGTGGGGGGCCCTGTGATGGACCCAGGTGCTCCTGACTCACCGTGGTACTCGGCCCAGCCATATCCTCGGACTATATCTACCTCCGAGTCGTCTCCCTCCTCTCTGCTGTTAACTCTAATCAGGACGTACTTAAACACTCCGGACGGGTCGATGTCTGCCTGAGGGATGTTGGCCATCAGAGCAGCAGCCCTCGTCTGAGTGCACATCTCCAAACTTCTCAGCAGCCACACTAACAAACCGACAAACAAACAAAGCGCACGTTGTTTCTCAACAAACTCCGTGTCTGTCTCTGAGGGGAAAAAAAAATACCCGAAAAACTATCTTATAGTCTAAACTGGATGTATACGGAGCAACATAAACTCATTATGACAGACAGTTCCTGCTGTCACAATTCTTTTCCTTCTGCTTCCTGTTTCCTCTTCTTCTTCTTCTTCTTCTTCCTCTTATTCCTTGTTTGATGGTGGTGGACAAACAGCATTACTTGCAATACCGCCCCCTTCTAAACTGGAGTAGAACGGCTTCTATCTGCTACTTCTATGAAATAACCCCGTGATTATTTATTTTATACTGTATTACTTTACTCAGTCCTGTACCCTCTAAAATCTAAAGATTGCTCTCTACCTTCATCACTGAACTCCTTTGTACCATCTCTTTCAAATTCAATCTATATGCTATTAGTTTGAAGTGCACTTTTAAATAACTCGTTCTCCTGCCAGAACCTTGGACAACTCAAAAAACAAAAACATTCCACTGCTTCCTGTACCCAAAAAAGCAGATCTGATTAAACTGCTATAAATTTTATATATTTATTTTATTTTTAACCATCCAATATAGAATCAATAACACTTCCTTGCTCCTGTCGCTGAGCTTTTCTACCATACAACTACTTACCTGTGTATGTAAAACATATGTAAATTAATGTGAAAGCAATTTACTTGATCATTTATTGCAATTTTAATTAATATATTTTGAAATAAATTGGTTTTTAAAATGCATTTCCCACATTTTCAAAGTCAAGGAGTGATTTGTGGCTACACATAACCAACACCCTTATTTAACTTTAGCATTTTTGGTCTGCTTTCAGGGGTAAATTAAGGACTAATTAGTGATATTTTAAGGTATTCTTGTTTTATAGTGTGATTAGAGAGGCATACACACACACACACACACACACACACACACACACACACAACAAGAATGCTCGAGCGAAGGTGCAGAGAGAAGAAGGTGCAGGGAGAACCTGCTGCTCAGAATAACCACAAATCTGCCTCACACATACTTATTTTAAACACCTTGTCTGAAAAAAGGACCAAAAACACATGACAATGACATCAACTGAGATGTGAAACCAACCATTACTAACATTAAAATAGGTGAAGACTGAGAAAGTTATGTTTAAATTTTTCATAAAGATCCAAGTTATTTTCTAACGTGTTAATGTTTGCATTAATTATTTAGGCAATATCACCAATATCATATTGGTGATATTAAGCAATATCATATTCATCAAAGAAACAATTACAGTTTCTTTACATAAAAATATTTTACTGCTAGAAATGTAGACAGCCATAAATATTACTAACTAACTGATTCCATTTGGAGTTACTGTTCATAAATTCTGTTAGTTTCTTGTATTAATATATTCATTGTCAATGCATCTGAATGAAAGGAGACAATTAAAACATTGCAAGTGATTTGTTTATGTTTTATTGCTTTCAGAATTTGCCACTGTGAGAAGCTCTAAAAGTTTCATCCTACATTGTGAAATGAATTAGGCTGCAGGTTCTTATTAGAAGCTGCTACACAGACATTTCCAGCATAGAAAACCTTGAGCCTCAATAAATATGAAGAGTAGCGTGTGTTTATTTGAGTTCCTTCACCCACTTTTAAGAAACACAGCATCTGATGTAACTGCGTCTCCCATTGGAACAAGTCAATTTCTCAGTAGAGATGAACTGGGCTGCATGCTCTTATTACAAGGCGCTAACGTCAAATGTCCAGCACAGAATAGCTTGAGACTAGCTAAATATGAACATGCATTTATTTGAGTTTCTTAACCCATTTTAAAGAAACACAGCATTGCATGTAATTAGAATATGTTAATTTTCCAATAGAAATTAAATGGGCTGCAGGCTCTTATTAGAACGTACTAAAGACGCTTCATAATACTGCACTGTTTAGACCTTACTATGTAATGTGCCTTGAGATGAATTTTTGTTATGATTTGGTACAATACAAATAAAACTGAATTGAACTGAACTGAATCATTTAAAATTAATCTTTCCAAATTCAGATAATTTCATAGTCTATTCAGAGTTAATTCCACCCTGATCAAATGTGGCTTTAAGGGTTTATTTTAAGTTGGTGTGGCTGTTAAAATACATTTGTTTGCCTGTTGTCCTGCTTCTCAGCCTAGACCTGTCAGGAATATTACAGTGTATCTGTAAGTTTCTGTATTTTAGGTCAAAAGGAGCAAAGAAATTGCACTGCGTGCCTAATCTGCATAATGAAAGCCTCAGCTATGCCTTTTGTCCCACCCCAGCGTTAACAAATTCATTCACAGCAGGAAAATACCTAATACACCAATGCCCCCAAAAAAAGAACTGCATCCATGAAAAACAACAGTGTTTGAAGTTTGGCATGCATA